ATGGTAGAGTGAGCTACCTGCACTAGTATAGGTGGCACAGTATGATTGTTGGAGGGTAGTCACATGATCAGCACAGGAATAGAAAAGACTGATGCACTGTTGAAAATTTTAGCAATGCTTAGAGGGCATATCAAGGTCGAGATAGCTTTGGGTGAGAGGAGGAAAGTACCTATTGGAAATACATTTTCAATGTTAGTAAATGTTAACCTTAAGAAGTTGAGATCAACTCGTCTTTACTGCTGGGTGTTAATTTGGCAGGGCTGTTTGTTAAATGTAATGAAATATAGTTTTGTGCAAGCATTTGACATTACCTGCAGTATATAGTCAAAGTCTTCTGAATATAATTATCGTGGTTATGTTTGGCTATTAAAATAAGAGCACGTAATATAATGATGATTAATCACCAAAATAGCTGAAAACTATATGTGGTGTTAACAAGGTATAGTATTACAAGGATGTAATACATTGCTTTATACAATGTTATCTGGTTTGAATTCCATAAAAGTACTTGAATGTATGATGAAGTTAAACCAAGCTTGGGCTTTGTTATTGTTTCTTTTCTTTTTTTTGCTCTGTCTTAATTATAATATGTTTGGAATAAGACACCATGCAAGTGTACTGGTTGGGTCTTATCTTGTATAAGATCAAAGGTGCATATATGTCGAATGAGGGCATTTTTTCACATAATTACTGGATACCCGTTTTGATGCCCATGCCTAGTAAAATTGAAAGTAATATTTCGGTTAAACATTCATACACATATGGTGTAACAAAACCTGATGACCTGTAAAAAATCTTTTGCTGTAGGGACAGGGTTCCTCTGACTGGGAAGGAAAAGAAGAAAGAGTAAAAAGAATGTAAAAGACTCACATACACACTTTGGTAGCATCTTAGACCTGATATAAAAAAACTGTGCCTTTCACACATTTGAAGATAATTGAAGGAAATACCGTATCATGCATCACAGGGCCTGAAGAACTGATAGGCCTAAACTCTCTTTCAGTGGGACGTTTTACAACTGACTGATATCTAAGCTGTAAAACAAATTGATTTTGGTGATATCAACTCTTTTTCTGAAAAGAAAGCTCAGACAGATTTTACATTAACATACCATTAAATGATTCCTTTTTCTTGCATTGTTTTGGTTTTTTAAAAAAAAAACTTGCTTTAAATTGTCATTGCTGCACAAAAAATACAAAGAAATAAAAAGATGACAGATTGGTTAATAATAATAATAAAGGGATTGAAGATAAGGTTAGAGATGATAGGGGTGAAGGTGGGGTGGGAAAGAGGCATAGGTAAAAACAGTAGGATTAGATTTGGAAAAGTAAACTTTTGAAAGAGATATAAATTTTACCAAAACCTTGGCTGATAGTAAGGCATATGGGGGTGGCACCAGGGCCCAAAAGTTTTCTGGTGGACCCTGTAAAAGGAAGGGATGCATATTACAGTTTTATTTGCATTCTCTTGTCCAGTGCCAGAGTAGGAAGTCTCAGGTCCCAGGTGCAAGGACATCTTGGGAGTCCTCATTATGAAAGGAAACCAATATTCTACTTCTCACATTACTTTTTCTTTGTTTTGAAGAAGTTCTCTGTGTGAACTCTGAACTAATGATCATCCTAGCTCCATGATCCAGGTTTAATCCTAGCCATATTGGTTTCAAGGTGGTTGGCAGCTGTTCTGTGGACCATCAGAGCTGTGTATTGTTTCTAGATCTGGCACTTACTCATCTGACTCATTCTGAACAGTCATATAAGTATTCTCATCTCTTCCCTCTTCATCCTGAGGGGCAAGATGGAATACGACAGTGCTTTCATACCTCCTCTTCTGACTGTTGGTCAAGCTTGTTTATCTTAGGTTCATAGGTCATATACACGGGCAACTAATCAACATGTACAGTGTGCTTGCACACTTACTTTAATGCTGTATCTCATACTTCAAAGGATCAATTCTTCGAATCACAAGATGAGGTCCAGTTCAGCCAGAGTCAATTAGCTTTCATGCTGATGGAACTTAACAAAGCCACACCCAAATCTCCACTTTGGTAAATCCATTCTATCACTGTTTTAATTTAGGATCTTTACTGATGTATGACAGTCTTTCTTAGCTGTTGAAGAACAAAATGTGCACACAAACTAATGCTAGTTTTGCCCACTTCACATTTTCATCTGGACTTTTGGGGATATCCATCCTAGGTAAAGGCCCATACATCACATCTACTAGAAGAAAAAAAAAAAGATCTAGTCCAAACATTAGCATTTTCAGCATATTTTGTCAGTTGTGTGATGCACCATCATGATGTAGGATAAGTGTTCATCCCAACTGGTTGGGTCATGGTTAAAAAGCGTAGCAAGTATGCACTTGACAGTGTGTATCACCATTTCCACTAACTTTTCAGACTGGGGGTGATAAGGGGAAGTTTACAACTTCACCAATCCAACACTTTACAAAACTTTGAGTACAATCGGTTGTTAGCTTTCTGATCCAAGTAGGTCATCTTCTTTTTGGTGCTCTGAATTGAGCTGTCCAGTGCTCTGCCAGTGCATCAGCAACAGACTGTGCAGACATATCATTCAATGGATAAGCTTTGGCCCAGTTTTTAGAATAGTTGATGACCACAAGTACATATAGGTGGCCTTTTTCTGTTTCTGAATGACTCCAACCAGAGTTGGAATTGATCTACTCTGGCTGGCATTAGTCTGGGGTTCCTGTACAGACCTATCCCCATGTGGACTTAAATTCATCAGACACCAAACCACCACAATGATTCAAAGTTTGTGTTTCTTTCACATTGAGATTGGTCTTTGAGGAGAATACAATCAGCCATTCTGAGTGAACCAGGTTCTGGTAGTTCTCCTTCCCATATCTGTGGTAGCAATGAGAAAGAAGTCATGACCTTTGTATCATTGGCAGAAGTTTCTCATCCAGTAAAGGACTACTCCTAGACATGACAGCTTTCTCAGACAACCATATTACCTTGGTGACCAACTCTTGTCTATCTTGTTCATAAGTCATTTGAGTTATGAAAAATTCCATTTCTTCAAACATGAAGCTTTTTGAAACTTATTAACACAAGAATGTAAGTAAATGGCAATATGCTAAGCAGCTAATAGCAAGCTCTACAATAACGATATGCTATTGTCATAACATCAAAATTTCTCTCACCTCTCTACTCTGTGGTATATTCAGGTGAAATGAATTAACTGTAGAACTACACTGGATAGGTCCACTTAATAAGTGAAAATTCATTCAAGATATTGATTATGGAGGAATGCTAGAACTTTTACTTAACCGAGTCAGTATTAAGTAGAATAATGACACAAGGGTAAAACAAAATGAACAATCTTTTTTAAATGTGAAACAAAAATACATTGTGTGGATTTGTGGTTCACTTCTGTTGGACTGTCACATCTACTGAAAGTTCCAATGTTAAAAACATTTACAACAGTGGTTACAAATTACTGGTCCATAGGGAGATTTCAGTAAGACTACAAAATAGTTGATTAGAATATGTGTGTTTTAAAATACAACTACTGAAGTATATTGTATCTCACGTGATAATGCCAGGTAAACCTGGTGAAATGTTGTAAACAAAGTAAAGTTTTATCCTCTACAACTGATAAAACTTTGTGTGAAAGTTCTTTCTAATATTTAAGTCTGGAAAATAGGAATATTACAGATTTCATTTCACCAAAGGTAAAATTGGAAACATAAACTGTGATACAGAGGACTATTATATTCTTTGATTCACTGTACCATCTGCTGTGGACTGCTGGTTTGACTATTCAATGATCATCAGCACAGTGTGTGTCAGAAAACCAAAGAAATGCAGTAGGACTTTTTATAATGGTGGTGTATATTAATATTTATGGATTTTTAAGTATTTTCTTTTTTAACTCACCACTTAGTAACTTAAAAAAATCTGTAACAGCATTATCCAACAGTTGGAATTTTTTATTGTTTCTAAATATTAAACATTGCAGTTTCTATGCATGTATATTTTCATGAACGAAGTTTAGAATTAAAAAAATAACTTAAGTAATTATAAATGATTGTGCTTGAAGTTAGAAGAGAAGGTTTTCTTTTTCTGGCTCATCATGTTTTTTGTCATGTGATAAAATTTTTCCAGTCACAAGTTTTAGTCAATTTTATATCTTAATTCTAAATATATTTCAACAATTTTAACTCAAAAAATATTTTAGAATCAACATTTTTCCATTTTCTGACATTATTGTAATTCATGAAGAAAGACAAAAAAGCTCATATTTTCATTATTGCACAGCTGCAAGGACTTTTGCTTGTAAACAAAACAACCCACTTATTGATTTATTTAAAAATTTTCTCCCCATCCCGAAGAATGAATGTTTTTGCTATTAACCTATCACCCCTTGAGAATATATTATTTTTGATAATTTCTATAAATGTGCCTTTGATTTTCTTTCATTTGTGTATTGGGAAAATATTTGTGTGTTAAATTGTATGCTTGGTACAAGAATATTACATACAGTATGAAAGAAGTTACATAACTTTGAAATTGTGTAAGGATTAATAAAAGTATTTCATTGATGTTTGGTTCTTTGTTTAAATATGGTATTTTTACTTTTTAATAGATATAGCATAGTCTTATTTAGTTGCAATGTTTGTAAACAAAACTTTTTTCTTTTTATTATGTTCACCAAATAAAACTGTCATTAAATCTGATAACTCTAGTTATGTTTATTGTTTAGTGAGTTTGGTAGGCAACTGCAAGATATTTTGAGGATTCAGATTTTTTCAGTCGATTAGCAAATAACACTGATTGTCTGTCTCTGTTGCTGTTTACTGAGTGGCATTGTCCACAACTTCCCACCTCTTGCCAGTCTCTAATCCCTTCCCTTTATCTGTTCTCATGCACCTCTTCAAGGCCTTTCTTGTCAATGGGCTCTTACATGCCCCCCCCCCCCAATTTGGGCTCTTTGTCTATTTTTCCTTGAATTGTTTGTACTTAAAAAAATACTTACGACTTAGATGCCTCTTATACTCTATCGTAAAGACCAGTTGATGTTATCCTGTGACACTTCCTTTCTTATAAAGACTTGGGCTGTCCGGTATGGTGATTAGTTTTCCTTCCTACATAAATAAATTGGTTAACTGGTTACATAATATTTCCAATTATAGTTGTGATATGTTTTAAATGTAAATAAAAGCATTATTATCCTTATCAGTAACAGACTGTTGTGAAACATGTTTTTGTCATTTTTCAATTTATTTGATTTACAGAAGATCATTATAGAATTAATGCATATTTTAATAACAAGCATGATGGCAACTGAATTGTCTATTTAGTCAACATTAGCAAGGCATTCAATAAATAATAAATGTCCAAATTTTCTTTAAAAATAATTTGTAATATTTTTTTAACAAAACATTTGCAACTGACAACCTTCAGAAGAGGTCCATTATGTAAAACCAAAGGTAATTTAAAAATTACTTAGAAAGCCAAAACTATGTTCATATCATGTTAGAATAATGCAGTTGTTGAAAAGGTTAGGAAGATAGCACACTCCTGAATTTTTTTTTATCTCGTTTGGGGGAGTGTAAATGGCATGAATTAATTAATTAATTACCAAATACCACTAATCACTGTTGTTTGTTTTTCTTTTTTAAGTTAGTGTTAACTTTGTTATATTAAATGAATGTTCCTAGTAGTGTAATATGATTAAATTTAGGGATTTGAAAGTTATTTACACTTCATTGAAAATTATAAATTTGATCTTGTTTTGTTTTTATAGCAATCAGATTTCTTCTGACTTTGAGGTTAGGTTAGAGGTGTATAGTCATATGCTTCACAATGATTTGAGTATTGCAAGCACCCCATGCAAGATTAAGAGGAAGATAACCAGATCTATCAGTCGAACTGTAGGTAGAAAGCTAGCAATTTCTTTGGTAAGTTTCTTTGTGTCCACTTGAATCTATGAGAAAAAAAAGTCTTTCTTTAGTTGTATTGACAGCAAATCACTTTTGGCACTTATTTGTAATTTTTTTTAAATTAAGCTTTTCAGGTTCAAAGATTGAATATTTATTTTCAAGACTTCAGATGTATTTGAGCATAAATATCCCTAATGTTTATGTTATATTGGAACAACTACAAGGTAGCTTCAAACTTGATTCAATAACATGCAAATTTCAAACTAATGTCACTTTCTACACATCATGTTTACATCATAATTTTCTTCTCGTTTATCAGATGGTAACCTTCAGTATTTTCAGATTTCTTTTAATAGTAATAAATGTTACAGAATCAAGCTGATTATAATGGTAACCGTATGAATATGAGTAGGCAAATGAGTACATACCCCAACCTTTTTACAGTTACATTCAAAATTAGAATTATTATCAATGTATGTCAATGAACTTAGCATCAAACATAGTTAATAAATCATGTTTTAATATTATAAAAGTTTTAATATCTTAAGTTCTAAAGTATTTATATAAATTCTTAACCTTCACTTTTCTTTTTCAAGTGACACTTGTTTGCTTCAAATTGTCCAATTTAGATATTTTTTCCACCTCTATTTAAACTTCTGAGACTTAATGCAAATTACAAACTTATAGATATTATTAAGACATAATCTAATTTTATAGTCTCCAATCATTTTGACTTGTAGAGATGTTAAACAGAAAATCAAATCCATGTGCCATATCCTGTCACTTACTGTCTTTAAAAAAATTTAAATAATTCTCACTGATGTTTGTTAACTTGTTATTTATAACCAATAGAAAAAGACAGTTTTAATTTACTGAGTTACCTTATAGGCTTCGCCATTCGTCGAAAGCTTTTGAATTATTAGATCTACAGATTCAAAGTTACTATTGCCAAGTTCTCCTCAACCAATTAAAGGAAATATTTTAATGCATGTATTCCTTAGTTAGAAAGCCAATTAAATTATAATAGTTATAGAACATTTTATTCTTTGGGAATATTATTATTTTGTTTTTAATTGGTTATTTGAAATAAATAAATAATTAAGTAAAATATTAACAATAATCCTACCAAAAATTAGGGTTAAATTTTTTTCAAGTATTTGACTGCAAAAAAGTACAAGTCCCATATATAATTACCAAATTGCTTGTTTTTTACATAAATTTTTATTTTATGTTATAAAAGTAACTAAATATAACAACAAGATAATTAAAAATTGTTAATTTAAGAAGATGAATAGGGATTGTCAAAAAAGTACAGAAACAAGTTGAATCAAAATGCAAATATTATATTTTCAAGCCTACAACTAGGGACTCTAAAAAAAAAGTAAACAAACTAGACTGGAAATAGTGTCTACATTATTTTCTCAAGCTACAAATCCCTATTTTGACTCCATATCTACAGTACTTATTAACTTTAGTGGAGTCATAATAGAGATTTATAGAAAATCCAGCCAGTTTTGCTGTAGGCTTGTAAACCAAAAATAATAATAAAAATAAGATATGCACTTAAAATTTCAGCAAAGTACAAAAATCAGTAGAATAAATTACCATTCACAAGTTTAGAGAAATCTACTATGGTAATCATTTACTGTTAGAAAACTCATTGAAACTACTAAGAGCCTAAGTACAACAGTGAACTTAAGAAACACTGGAGAAGTGATGAATTCTCAATGTGGCAGTTTCCAATTAATGTGCTATAAGTTGCACAAATGATTTTCCAATTAATGCACATTAGTAAAACACCGAAGTTTTTCAGTGATGGATAATGAAGGACTTGGAGAAATACTTCAGGGGAAAAAAACAAAGGCACATGAATTAATTTTAAAACTACTCTATGACATACTCAATACTACCATTTTTTCTGTAGCAGCTTGTAAAACTGTAATCAATAATAATAAGGCTGGAAACAATGTTATAAATATACACATTGTTTACTCTAATAAAACAAAGAGTTTCTTATTAGTATATAATGTACCATTTCCAACTAGTATAATGGTGCTTAAATGAGTTGTACATTTCTGCAATGCTTGAATGGCTTCAAAAAGCTTATGTTGGTGGTGAAGAAGAATTTAAATTTTAGACAGTGGAAATTCCAGCTTTCAATAATGAACTTAAAAATAGCCCTACAAGTTTTGCAGGTGTTTGTTTAGTAGCAGTAAAATAACTGATAAAATCTCTCCTTCTCTTTGAAGAATCAACATAAGAAATAGTCCAATGACCTATGCAGGAGTTTTTTTAGTAAGTTTGCCCAGGTTTGGATATAATATTCATAGCCATTTTTTCAGTATGCTTGTGAAACACTAATAATAATGTGAAGAACAAATGGATGAATTTTGTCTAACAATTGCAAAATCAACTTTTTGCTATTATCAGTATTTTAGCAGCCTTAGCCATTGTGATAGAAGGTCTTGAGTGTTGTTTCAAGAACAAGTCTGCTTTTTAAGAGGGTTTTTGCCTGTATGTTCTATTAATTTTTTGAAATTCCTGGGTTCACTATTATGGTTCATGATTAGAAACTTATTAGGCTAAATAAAGAAACCTGAATGAAAAAATAATTTCTCAGCTAGGTATTTACGTGAGCTGTATGCACATTACATAATTCATTATATTACTTTATCAGAACTTGAAGTATTTCTTTGCTGAGCATTTATTGCTTGGTTCCATTATGTAGCTGGGAGTTTGAGCACCCACCCATTCGTCTGGCATTCCTTCCCCACATTCTCGAGGTGGGGATGAAGATGAGGATGGCTTTGACCACTTGTTTCCTCTTCCTGGTTATGCCCTAGGAATCTTTTTCTATTGAAGAAAGTTTTCTGATTTCCCTCACATTATAGAGACTTTATATCTCAAGTATTTTCTGTTCTCTCTCTTGTTCCTCTTCATATGGCACTTCCAGTTTCCACCTTCATAACCCTAAGAAATATTGTTTTCCCTCTTCTCTTTCACATACTTCTTTTTGAGACCAACTTCATTCCTCCAATATTATGGCATACAGTCATTCTGACTTCCCCTTTCTGGAGTCACAGACTTTGGAATCTCTCTTGCCTATGCGGGACAGACCCTTTGGGTCAGTTTCACTCTACAGTTCCAAATTATCTGGACTTCACCTAATCCTTCTATCAATGTTTCATTAGCTTTCCTTTCTACACATCATGTCGGATGATTTTATCAGCAATTCCTATTCCCTTCTCCTTTCTACTATGGCTCATACTACTTTGTCTCTTTCCCTGCTCATTCAAATCATTTGTTGTTGGGTAGGTATACCCTTCTTTCCCTTGTTTGTCTTCCTTTTTACGAGATCACTGCTTTGCCTCTTTTCTTCACTCTTCAGTTTTTGGGGGTATTCCAGATTCAATTGAATCTCGAGCAAGACTGCTAGGCTAGTTGGTGACTGCTTAGCAGAATCAAATTTGGTGGAGGCACATTTGTTGAGGTATGTGCATTTTTGGGAACAACTCTGTGAAGACAGATGAATTACTATTCTTCTCACTCATGGACTCTTCCTACAATTATCCTCACCTCCCCCTCTCAGATCATACCCAGTTCACTTTCCCTTTCCTTCAGACCCTATCTATCTTCAATGTCTGGAAGATGCAGTGTTGGATTTTAGGCATAAACAGGCATCATTGTAAGTCTCAAAAAGACTGGCGACTGGTTATCAAACTTTCCTCCCTGAATCAATTCCTGGTTGTCCCTTATTTTCATATGGAAAATTTATTTTTTTTCAGGTGGGCCTTTTCACCAGGACAATGGATAACCAAAGTCGACCTCTCAGACATGTTCCTTCATATTCCCATTGCAAGTTTGTCTGACGTTTCCTTCAATTCATTCATCTGGATCGCAATTTCTAGTTCCATGCTCTTTCTTTTGGAATTGTGTTTTTTCCACTACATCTTAAACAGAGTGGTCAGGGCTTTCGCTCACCATCTGCATGGACTGGGTCTGCAATTTCAGCATTACATGAATGGCTTCTCCTGTCTCACTTGCAAATGGAGCCCTCCCTTCACACATCCATTGTTCTGCGAGAGGCTGCTTTTTTGGGTTGGCTTGTTAAGATTTCCAAATTCTTTGTAACCCCCACCCACTATATCATTCACTTTATTTGTCAACTCCCTTTTCAGCTGGGCCCAACCTTCTCCTATCTTACTGTAGGCACTGGAGCTTTCTGTCATCAAGATGCAAGCCTCTCGTACCCAATCCATATGAGAGATTCTATCACTTTTGGAGACCATGGCTTCACTGGAGCTGTTTATATTACTAGGTTGTGCTCATATGTGCCTCTTCCAATGATTCTTACACGACCAGTGGAACCACTCAATGAACCTTTAAACTCAGTGATTTTCCTGCCCCCTCCTCTTCTCAAGAGCCTTTCATAGTGGCTGGACTGCTCCAATACCACTATTGGTATGCCTCTACTTCCACCTAAACCAAACTTACACTTTTTCATCGATGCTTCTATCTTGGTATGGAGAGCGTATCTGAATGACATCATTACATCAGGCACTTTGACCCAGAGTAAATTCTCTCATGGGGACTCCTCTCATCAATACCTTTGCCACTCCTCTCAATTACAAGCTTCCTTCTTTTGGTCTCCTGTCCCCCATCCTTCAGCCAGGAATGGTTGCATCTTTTCCTGTATGCTTACCTACTTCTCCTTCTGTTACCCTGGGCCCTGGCCTTAATTTTTGACATTCTAAGATAGAAGAATGGTCTAAGTGTGGATTATTAAACTATTTAAATCAAAAATTTTCCAAAGAGATATAACTTATCCTTCAAACATGTAATTCTCACATTGTGAAATATTTATTCTAATTAAAAGAAATTACTTAATCTGCATGTACCAATAATGTTTTAAAATATTTGTTTTCTGTCAAAAAGTATTATAATTTTAATTTGTTATTCCTTGAAATTATTGTATATTTGTTTTTTTTTCTACATAATAGTTCACAGTGAATTATAAAATGATGATATGTACAAACAGATATGTAAAATTTTAATTAGATACTCATTTTACAACTGTACAATATATTTCATTTCAAAAAGTCATCCAAATAAAACTGTGTGATAACTTATACAACAAATATGTAATTGCTTACTTTCTATACTGATTTTAATTTTGAAATTTATAAATGACTTAAAATAAAAAACTGATGGTAATTACACTTCACTTACTTAATTTAGTTCACACCATGGTACATGGTCTGTTGCCACAATAAAACATATTCTGTTCTTTTGGGTCATGTGTGTCCTATGAGGGTGATGGTCAAAATCACTATTCGATCAAATAAGAGTGTAGTCCAAGAGTTGGTAGTGGGTTCTAATGATTATCTGCCTTCCCCCTAGTCTACCAGATGGAAATGAGGGACAGCCATGCATATCATTTTCATATCTTTGCATGAAAAATCTGCAACAAAGCTTTTTTCAGAGGATCAAAATGTTTCACTGTTGAACATGGATACATTAAATTAGCAAGTTTGCAGGCAAAAACATCCAGTTACCAATACATCCACAGACAGCTCTGAATGTGACCTAGATTTTCTCTCCATTATTAATATAATACTTTTGTGTGTACTGCAAGCTGTAAGTAAAGAATATTGAGGAATAAGAATTATTGTTTTAATAAAATTATTGGATAGATCACTGTTTTACATTTGGCTGGTGGGTTTCAGTTCTAAGTGGGGAAGGATATGCTTGTGCACTCTATTATACCCTATGCATTTAAAAGTACTTTTAAGGTTAGAAAGTTTAATGATAATATTAACTGGTTGTGATCAGACACATCAGAGGAACCATTAAGTGTTTTATTATTACCTTGTTTAAAGCCAGAGTCAGAACACTAAATCTTGTGACAATTTTTGGCAGTTGAACTTCCATAAATTGCTCCATAGAAATTGTACAGCAACAACAAAAGAAAGTTTAAACCTTTATGGTCAACATTAATTCAAGCTTATAAGACATCAGTTTCTTATAATTTTAGCTGTTTTTATTTTTAACTAATGAAGTGTTAAATTTAAAGAAGTTTTGTAAGATGTGTTCATAGACTATTTTTTAACTTGATATTTTTAGTCTGCATTGTGTTTTGTAAGAGTATTCTTAAAGTCTTATTTTAGTCTGTTTTAAGTATATTTTTTTTAATTTTCAGAATGATAAACGTACTAATGGAGAAAAGTAAGTAAATTCCTATCTTTTTTAGATGAATAGATTGTAAGTATTAAATGTTTTATTTGAAATTAAAACCTTCCATAATTTGCAGGAAGTTGAAGTATGGAAAAAATACACAAAAACTGGGATTATCAATAGACACACACAAACATATATATGTATGTGTGTGTGTGTATATAAAAATAAATAAATATATATATATATAGAGAGAGAGAGATATATCAACACTTTTTAAATTTTGGTTACTTGAGAGTCTTTTTTTTTTCCTTTCCTTTTATAAGAAATTTGGACAGATAAAAACAGTTATCATTTGATTGTTATTAATCGATTTTATAATAGGTAAACTGATACCTGATTATCAAGTAATTAATTAACACATACCTAGCAAAAACTTATCAGCATGTTATATTTTTCAGGATCTTAACTAAACCCAAATTTCTTTGCAATAACTGAATAATAAGATTATTATAAATAATTGTTTAAGCTCTAGTGGGTAGCAATCAGGTGAAAGATGTAATTTAAAATAAACTGCCAGGTGATGAACTAGTGGTTAGAAATTTTCTTTTTTTGGTCTGTGCACTTGGTTCCCAGTTTTATTTTTGGGCCATTATTTTTCATAGGTTTCTGGTGTGTTATGTGTTAGTCCTTTTGGATGAGGCTGAATTACTTAATCCTTTTTTATCAGTAATTCTCCAGATTTTGCAATTGATGAGAGCATTGTGTTGATAACATGTTCAACTGATATGTTGATTTTCATTAGGAAGACAACTTTGTTCTTTCAAAATTGTTCTAGGTTTCAGCTTATTTCAAACTTATATGAATCCGTACGTCAGTAGAAGATTTAATGGGTAATAATTCTGTTTATTTTCAGAAGGTTGCTTTACATTGTTTAAATTGTTTTATATTTACATAAGTGATTTTGAAAGGTCATTTTGACATTACATAAAATTTGAATTAAAATTGTTCTCCATATCATATAAGTGTTGTGTAATATTTTTGGAATAAATCTCCTGATTGAACACAAAGATTATGACATTACCATGAGCACATAAAGCTGATGCACACACTGACACATAAATATTTCAACTTCAAGTTGGATTACTCTTAATTCAAAAAAGAAGCATACATTTCCTGTCTTTACAACAGAATAATGAAAGTTTGCCACAGTCTAACTCTTACAGCTAAACTAAAGCATATCATAACTTTTGAGAAGCCCATCCCCAGTGGCACAGTAATATGTCTGCTGACTTATAATGCTAGAAACTGGGTTTTGATACCTGTGGTGAGCTTTGTGCTTAACTATGTACAAGACTCATTGGATCTCACAAAACAAATCTCCAGAACCATACACATTTCTAAAGAAACCAAACCAGGAGCACACTTTAGATTATTCAACAGTAAATTCCATATTCAAATTGCATCTCAGTTGTAAAAGGTAGAAGAACGAAACTTGTGAATACCAACCATGACATACCTTTTCAATGCAAAGACAGCCACCAGTAGTGTTATATGTATATATGAAGTATAATAAATAATGACTCAGACAAACCCATAGCTGATAACTTACCAACATACTAAAAACCAATAGTAAGAACTATTTAAACTTATATTCCATCTTTGTGAAACACGGGGTATGAATTCTGTTGTTTTAATGACTCTCACAAATACATGGACACTCACTTAAACTTGTATTCCATCTCCATGAAATACAGAGCATGAACTTTTATTTTAACCCAATGACCACTGGCTACTAACTGTCTGAGTAGCTAATTCCAGTCTTGTTATATTTTGTTCCAACAATAAAACTAGTGGAAGAAATTGTTTGAAACTTCATAAGAACTTTCATAAATGCACGTAGTTTAAGGAACATAAAGCATGTTACTTTTGATAAATTTAGTTTTTTTTTGCATCATGATCTTTAATATCTTGGAAAATTACATTAGGAAATGGTATTTATAAGAAATGACTACGATATTTGTATTTGTTCCAGATTTGAACTTATTATTTTTTATGTTTTGTGCATTATTTTAAAATACCCAAAAATTTTTATTGTTCATAAAATGCAAGTTTTATCTATCTTTAATTTTTTTAATAATCACGTACTCTCCTTATGGTTTCAAGTAACGTACAAGACCCAAAAATAATATTTCTAAGTAAACCTAAACAATAAATGAGTATTTTTATTTTTCACTAGCATTTCATGTTTATATACACCTGGAAAAAAGTTAAGCACCCCCAAATATTTTTCAGGATTGCTT